GCTTTTTTTTCCCCTTTTCAAAAATATAATTTTTTTTTCCTTCATTTAAAAAAAAAATCAAACCACCTTCAGTTGATCTAGAAGAAATGTTGCCTTAGGGAACAAGGTCCTGTCTCCCATGGGCTGGAAAAGAACTTGACTCTCCTTTGCAGCTCTCCCCGTCTACAGGTGGGAGTGAAAGACCCCAGGCTGCCACCCAGCCCCTCCTGGTTACTGCAACAGGGGGCTTATAAAGCAAATTTTGTAATTTGAAAGTTTCAAACCACCTTCAGTTGATCTAGAAGAAATGTTGCCTTAGGGAACAAGGTCCTGTCTCCCATGGGCTGGAAAAGAACTTGACTCTCCTTTGCAGCTCTCCCCGTCTACAGGTGGGAGTGAAAGACCCCAGGCTGCCACCCAGCCCCTCCTGGTTACTGCAACAGGGGGCTTATAAAGCAAATTTTGTAATTTGAAAGTTTTGATTGTCTTCCTACTGTTACTGAAGACTGAAGATACTAATCTCTGTAGTGGAAAACTGGAAATCAGAAAGAAAGTTTCCATGTTTCCTGCAGCATATATTTGCACAATCTCCAATTAATTTACTGATCTTTTGTCTTTGGGGTTTTTTTTCTTTTGGTTATATTCTTTCTCAATATTTTTAAAATGTTCTTTCTTTTGTTTACTGTGTCAAAGTGTTACAGGTTTGTTTTGATGGCATATCTTCTACTTCCCACCATGCTAACATTTTTTTTCTCTAAAAAAATAATATTTTGATGTGTGGCAGCATGCCATGCTTTAAGCACCTTTTAAAAAATGTGTAATTCAGTAATACAAAAACACACCTTTTCATGAATGCTCAACCAAATTAATTTGGCAGTTTTATTGTTTACCTCCTCCTTTTGTTTGTTGAAAAATTTGAGCATTTTCCAAGCTCTTATATCCTCTAATAATCTTTAGAAAATTATTTATCAAGTCGGCAAATAATTTACCTAATTATGTTATTTTCTCAAATTTTGTTCTGATTTTATTAGAAGCATCTGCAACCTGTAATTTCTGCAAAGCTGAAGTTGCCAAATGTCACGTTAATTCATCCTTCTCATTTCTAGAAAGTATGTGTGTGCGCTGCAGACAGAGATATCCCTTCAGCAAGTAGGACTCCAAAACTTTTTTGGGAATCATAGTTTGTTTGTTTTGTTTTGTTTTGTTTTTTTAACTCCAGTGCCATATGCTAGACTTAATTATTGGAAGAGATTCAGAGTGAGCAACTGCACTATGAAGGTATGCTGGCCCATTTTTGGTTTATGCTCTTTTCAAGATTCTGTAATTAATTTTCAGTTAATTATGGACCAGAATGACTTCATGAATTGTGAAGTTTCTTCCAGCATACGCTGTGATCAGATTTTTTGAGTCTCTCACTTTTGCATGAGACATTTTCATTTGACTCCCACCTCATGCTGCTGTTCCTTAGTTATGTCTGTCCCCACAGCGGCACCGGGGCGGGGGGGGGGGGGGGGACACCACCCCCCCAATAGCACACTGGTACTCAGCATGGTTTCTTATGCTACCACCAGCTGCATCCAACAAGGCAGCTGGTGGCTTGCAGCAGTGCCCGGGATGCTGCATTGGAACCGGGGTGGCGCAGAGCCTCCTGGTTTCACTCCTGCTGTGTGCTGCGCTCTGTGCTGAAGCCTGGAGAAGGGAAATGTTTTATATGGTGAGACTTGAGGGGACCCCCACCCACCACTCCCCCTTTCGTTGGCTGGTTAGTCCTTGCCCCAGTGATGTGACTTAGTGACCAGGCATCCCTCTTCTGCTGTGTGATCAGAGAAGATCCCTTTTCTGCCATGTGGTGCGCCATACATGCTTAGAGGACAAACAAGTGTTGAGAGGTCTGTACCGTGTAGGACTGCAATCCTTTCCTGCCTCGGCTCGCATATAGAACACTGCTGAGACTTACCGCTGCTGGTCTCCCACAACAGTGGGAAGCAGCTTGCTGAAGTACCCTTTGGATATCGAAGGGAAATAAAATAGATTTCACCTTGCAAATTACATAGTTCATCGCTCTGTCTGC